TCTTCGGTCTCTAGTGAACCTTATTTCGGCAATCACCACATGATAACAAGATACACAATTTGATACCTAAAAAATTATTAACACTGTTAAAGAAATGCATACAAACAATACTCACTATGATACCCAAGATACATACAAGATGCACATTGTGATATCCAAGATACATACAAGATGCACACTGTGATACCCTTTGTAAGGCAATGAAAATAATGAAACTGCACCATGTGATATCCTATGTATACAAGATGTGATACCCTACGTGATAAACTTCATAAAGCAATGCTACCAGAAAATACACATTGATACACTTTGTAAAACATAAAAACCTAAAAACAAACGTTGGTGCCAAAGTTGTAGAATGTCGTTTTAAATTTTTATCAAAATTCATACTTAGAAGAAGGGCACACCACAGCTCGAGCACACTGTATGAATGTCTTCGAGCATTAATGTTCCATGACAATTAGGTACATTACTTAAGATAGCAGAGTCATCTAAAGAAGTGGCCAAGAACTAACTTCTAACATTAGGTGGTGAGTTGTTAATGGAGTTCATTGATGACAATGGCTTCTTATCTCTCTTGTTTTATCATGATTATAATATTTGAACTCTTGTGGATAAGATGGGCTAGGTGTCAAAAGCCATAACCAATAGAAGCATTTGGTGTCAAAGATGTAAAACGATTTCTTAAACTTTGGCATATATCCATCTTTGCAAGAACTGTATGCCCTAGTAGAGTTGCACATGGGTCGGGTTGGTCTGTTTTATAGCATTTGAACAACCTAACCCAATATTTGCGGTTTGAAAAATCTGAACCCAACCCAACCCAAGTAAAATTACAACCCAACCTAACTCAAACCGTAAGAGTTAGATTGGGTTAGGTTGGTCTGGTTGAAACTAAAGTGGAGGTAGACAGTTGATGGAATAGATGGAGACGGAAAGTATGTGAAGAGAAGCCAGAGATAGGATCGTCGCTATAAGTTGACAGAGATGGAGGGAACAAGCATTTTTCTCCGATCTGTGTTTTGTCAGAATCACAAGAAAAAGGCTTAGGGGAAGAGGTTTATAGTTATAATTATAAATCTTATTTATAATTATAAACAAAGAGCATCATCCAACAATACATCATTGTTACCCAAATGATAAAGTTTGGTGATTCAGCTAATCAGCAAACTATGTGATCATTATCAGTGTACACATTTATGTCCATTTGTTCAGATATCCAAATTAAGCATGAGGCAAACTGTGTGATCATTATCAGTATGAGCATGTATGCACTTCCTCAATACCATTTAATCGAGAGCTCTAGTGATATCACTCTCGTCATACAAAAGTAACAAACTATATCTTGATCCATGCTAGTACAACTAAGTGATATGTGATATACCCAACAACCATTCTGTCACGCAGTTACGAGATGATTAGAATCGGTCTCAAAGTACACCACTCATATAAAGCAAACTCCATGATCTCAAGTCAAAGGACTAAATGTACGGTTATGAGAAACGTCTATAACACTCATATGACATCCAATGAAACGTTCCCATAGTGAGTCATGCCTAGTACACAAGATCCTATATTGTACCCGTATGTGGATTCTGTATATCTATATGAATCCTTGCATATACTAGTCGTATCGTATTAATTCAACATAAACCCAAATTGTTGGTCCCGTTAGGGTCTACAAGATATTTAGAAACAGATTGTAGAAGGGGGGGATGAATACAAACAAAGTAAACTTTTCAAATTTAATATATATATATATATATATATTAATAAATAATGATCAATACAGATTTTACAAGATTGTATGTGGAAAAGATAAGGTAGAAAACTTATCTAAACAATCTTAAGTTACACACAAAAGTTCTTAGCAAAGAGAAAAGGTTTTTTGTTTTAAGACTAAGAAGAGAGTAAGTTCTTTCTGGGTAAGAACTATTTAGAATACTTAAAAAAGGATTCTAACTTGCTTTGAAGATAAGCGTATTGTGTTATTAGATGTGTGTGTTCTTTTACGTATGCACGTAAGGATTAGGGTTCAAGAGTAAGAGTATCTCTGCATGGAGATAGAACACATCTATTTATATCTATTGCATTAAATGCACATTTAATGCAATGCAGTAGGGTTTGAACACGCGTCAAACCTTTAGAGAAAGACTTGTCATTTGCTATAGTGAATAATACAAAAGCCTATTCATGAGCAGACATCCTTTCATGGAGTTGGTGGGTAGTAGAGTCAACTAATCGGCTATGTACCGAACTATACTCTAAAAATGGTATGGGTTTGTCCTTTGTATGTGGAAGGACAAGACAAAAGCAATCTTACTCAACAAGCTTCTTTTGATCGTTGAATGCTAGAATAACTCTGAAGGTCTCTTCAGCATTCGTTGAGGCTTGGGCAGTCTTCACACATATATAGACCAGGTTGTAATCACTGAATGTCGCTTCAGATCACAAACACGTCAGTCTCTAATCTTCAGTTTTAGTCTTCGACTTTCGCTGAAGGTTCTTTGGTGTGAGTTTTGTCTTCTTGAAGTATTGTTGTCGCTGATGGATTTACATTACATGTTCTCAGCGATCACTGAACAAACTCAGTGATGATCGCTGGAACTAAAAGCAGAAACAATAATACTTTATATAAGGTAAAAGGAATACATCAAATCACTGAGAGAGAAAATCAACACATATTAATACTTGACTAGGGACATTTAGAATACATTATTCTAAGGTCATTATTACGTTTAGATATAACATAGATAATCATGACACAATGTCCAAACAGGATCATCCAATGATTGGCTTTTAGAAGTACACACACACACACATATATATATAGGGCCCTCTTCATTTAAGTAAACATTGTGAAGCAAGTAATTGTTCATAAGTGCACTTCATGAACTTAGTAATTGCCTCCTATGAATAGATTACCATTTTTATTTATGTTGATGAACAAACAAGTACAATTATAATTAATGAACGTGAGGGACTATGAGTAGAAAATATAGTACAATTACAATACAATGGTAGTCACAAAGGTAGGAAGGTATTTGCCTTACTAGGCTTCACAGACATATAAGGACCATATGTATGTAAAAGATCAGACACATAGCTAGGAGAAGAGGTAGGTAGCTTAGATGAGGTAGAAGGATGATAATGATCAACATATTGAAAGATGATGTCGTTATGAGGAGAATAATTCGGTGAACGTGATGTTTTAGGGGTGAGAGAGAGAGATCGTCAAAGAAGGGATGAGAAGAATCAGACTAGACCTTGAACATTGAAATAGAGGAGAACATTTTATCTTCCCAAAACGTAACATGCCTGAAGATAAAAGACATTATGAGATAGGATCCCAACATCAGTATCCTTTGTGCTTAATAAGGAAACCAAAGAAACAACATAGATGGAAGTGAGGCTCAAGTTTTATGCGTCTATAAAGTTGAAGAATCACGAAGCAAGTGTAACCGGATACCTTTAAAAGGTCGTAAAGAGGAGAGGTAACATAGAGACAATCATAAGGAGACTTATGGTAGAGGTCCCTCCTTTTTTATATTAATGATATAAAAGGTCCCTTAACTATACATTTGTACATAAAACTAACATAAACTTTCATCCAGAAACCCGTTAACATCAGTAATTGAAACATATATTTTGTCAGCAAATTAATATAATCATAACTAACACGTTTTATTGATGTTTACGTCTAACTTTGAACATATAATACAAAGTTTTGGACGTAAGAATTTTCATTCAATTTTTATGTAAATATAATTTCTTTATTTCACATATTTAAAAGAAGAAAACGTTATATTTTGAGTTTGTAATTAAGAAACATCATATTTATTGGAAAATTACAACAAAATTGGAAGCCAAAAATCTTTAATAGATATGTGTAATATACTCTTTATAGAACTTATGTTTATAGAACTAAACATAAATGTGTCCTATGTAAAAGTGTTATAATAAACTTATAGAAAACGGTCTTTTTGAATAATTTTAAAATAAATCGTCCTATTAAGTTTTTATGACATTATTTAAAAATATGTCATATAAAAACAAACTTCTAATAAAATAGATTTGTTTACAGGACACTTCTCAAAAATATATATTATAAGAAAGTAATATGATATTTTATTTCAAAAGGATCCTAATTAAAAGACTATTTAAGACGTTCAAAAGTATCTTGTAACTTATTGCAACACTTTTAAATAAAATACACAATTGTTTGGTCCTATAAATTTAAATCCTGTAAGATTTTCTATTAAAAGACATGGATATTTGTGTCGTTCAATAAACCCAATTTTGTTATTCTAGAGAACACAGTGTTGTCGTGCCATGCTTAAAAGTTGAATGTTTTTCAACAATATCTAATTTTAATTTTAAGATTGTAACAGAACCGAATCATCTCATAATTGTATTGTAAGAAGTGAGAAGTAGAAGTTCATGGATGTCTCAACTTGTCAAAAAAATATACAAAAATAGTATTAGAATATTATGTAAATCTTGAAAATTGAAATTGTCCATATTGGGTATAATTTCCAAAATAGGAAATAAGTTCTGAGTAAAATGGGTGCATTTTTAAAGAGTAAAATCCTTGTAATAAACATGAATGAAGACTAAAAATTTGTTTCTTCAGAATTCAATTATTTCCATTTATAGAAATTAATTATCAAAAAAGAAAATGCCCCATAACCAACCTCGTAAACTTATAATCGAATCACACTGAAACGGTATATCTTTATTTTATTTTTAATTTAATTTTAATTGTAAGAATGGCATTTTCCATTTTTAGTAACCCCATCACTTCCTTTCCATTTTCCATTTCTAAATTTAGAAACTCTTGCCTTTTAAAAGAGATCACTTCAAAGTAGTCGAACTCATATGAAGAACCTCTTAAAGCTTAAATGCCCACTAAAGTTTCCATCATGTGTGGTTCTTCATCATCATCGTCAAGCGGCGGTGGTGGTGGCGGTGACGGTGGCGGTGGGGGAGGAGAAGAGAGAAAGAGGAGGAAGACAATGGGTCGAGGGCGGATTGAGATAAAGAAGATCGAAAATGTGAGTAGCCGGCAAGTAACATTTTCGAAACGTCGAGCTGGGCTTATGAAGAAAGCGAAAGAATTGGCGATCTTGTGTGATGCAGAGGTGGGCGTTATTATTTTTTCCAGTACAGGAAAACTCTATGGGTTCGCTAGTTCACGGTACGCACAAAATATATTCCTTCAACTTCTTTTAGCTTCTATTTAAATAACATGTGTTCAGTTGAATTCATTTCGTTAATCGGATTAAATTTTCTCAACTAATTTATGGATTAATAAGTTGTACTTTGAGATACTCTACTATCGAAAGTTATATGTACAAGTTTGAATGCATTTGTACATTTATGGAAGATCTGTTAGAGAAGACTTTAAGAGGTAAACTGACTTGTACAGATTTTGGGAAATAAAATTGCCAAAAAGGTATTAACAAATATGTAATTAAGGGCCGTTTACCAAACATTTATCCAGTAAAATTTAAAACTATTATTTATTTACCGGATAAGGATTTAGTCCATCAAAACAATATCGTATGCAACAATTTACCCGGTAAGTACTTATTGTGGTAAGAGTCGTCGCCCTCACTTACCGGGCAAGACTCTTGGTCATTGTTTCGCTCTACCGGGTAAGATTCTTTGTCCTTACATATTCATCCGGTGAGGTAACGTGACTTGATAAGCACTTATCCAGATAAGCTTTTGGTAAACGGCCCTAAATCTGTAGTGTTAAAACAGAACGAAATCAGTCTTCTTTTCATCTAACTGACATTATTTTAGGCAGATGATGGTAAGTTTGGGACTCATTTTTTAATAAAAACTAAACCAAATATATTGAATGTCTGATTGGTTTGAGCTTGGCTCCAAAGGTCAAAAGTACCGGGAGGTCCAGGTTCAAATCCAAAGAGGAATAAAAATTCACGTGTGGCCACGGAGGTTCAAATGTGGTAACTCTGGGCTATCTGCAAAGCAGATGATCGTCCTGGGATTAGTCGGCTCGCATAGTTGGTTACATATTCAGGTTAATAAAAAAAAAATATTGAATACGTTTTATTCGAAAGTAAAATCTAAAAATATGATATACGTCAGCTTTATCTCTATATTCAAAGTCAAGCGCAGTTTATTAAGCCTACTAATGATATTTGGGGCCCAAAAGGCCCATTTGAATTTCTATGAACACTTCGTAGTTTTTTTTTTTGGAATATATCAATAATCTTTTTAACTCAAGGGGTATATCAAGTCTTTGAACTCAATACTTATAAAGAGCTATATACCCAACACTTACCCGGTAAACGTTTACGGGTAAAATTCAACACTATCACCTACTTACCGGATATAATTCTAGTCCATCAAAACGGTCTGGTATGCAACAATTTATTTGGTAAGCGCTAAAACAGTGTCTATCACTTACTGAGTAATACTTTGGTCCTTGTCTTCTCTCTTAGCAGATAAGATGATGTGACTAAATAAATGTTTACCCAGATAAGCGTTTGGTAAACGACGTCTAAATTTACAAATAATATATGTATACATATTTTTGGATTCTAAACAAACAACATATATTTTCAATTTATTTTGAAGGTTGCAAAATATCATCTCAAGGTACGAAAGGAATTCAGATTGCTTAGATAATCCAACATCGGAAAAACAGGTAAATACTCTCATTTAATCAACTACAATAAGCATATATGAAGCCATGCCATCCACTTCTTAAATGATTATTATTTGAGTTTCAGAGTTAGGGGTCGTTTATCAAACACTTATCCGGTAAACTTTAACATTATTATTTACTTACTGAGTAAGATTTTAGTTCACCAAAACAATAGTAAGCGCTTACCGTGGAAAAAAATCGTCGCCCTCACTTACCGGGTAAAACTCATGGTATTAGTCTCGCTCTTACCAGGTAAGATTTTTTGTCCTTACCATATTCATCTTGTGATGTAATGTGACTTGGTAAGCGCTTATTGGGGTAAGTGTTTGGTAAACTATCCCTTAGTAAAAATTGTATAATTGTATTTTCATATTTGTTTGATGTTGTGATTTGTGAAGCATGAAGTAGACCCCGAGTTAGAAGCTTTAAAGGCTGAAATCGTGAAGCTACGCAAAGGGCAGAGGTGAGTTCTTTTTTCTAAATAAAATTTATTTAAAAATGTTCTTATCTACTTATAAAAATATATCCCTTTTCGATTTTTAGTGTTTGGAGGGAAAAAAAAAAGAATCAATAAAGAGTTTTTGATAAGTTACTCTCTTATAACTTATTAACTTATTTCCGTGTAGTACCAGTAATCAAAAGTTTTTCGTGTTTGCATGGAAAAAAAAATACTTATCAACTTATTATGTTTTATTATCATCATAAGTTAATTTAAACACTTTTTATAAAACTCTGATTTAACATCAAATAAGTTTATAAGCACTTTTTAAAAAAAACACAGGTTATTTTAAATAAGCAATCCCAAACAATCACTAGTTGGTCTAGTGGTGGCAAGGGCACTTGGCTTCCTAGGAGGTCTAGTGTTCGAATCCCACCCTAGTCAATTAATTGATCGGTACCTCCTTCCGTAAATGCCTTGCCTTTGGCGTGCCCGCAAAGGTCCGATTCCAGGGGAGGACAGGTTGTCTTTTCCGATACTTGCTTATGAGGTATGGCAAGTAGGGCTCACAAAATGTGGACCACAGGGCCATGAGGTCCCCGCCAATAAACCTTTAAATCAAAAGGGGGATATAGTTTTTGTAGATGAAAACTTTTCTATTTGTTAAATGTGTTTCTTATCAAATTATATAAGCAGTGTTTCATTCAATATTGTTTTGTACAGAAAAATGGATGTGTCATATGTAAAACAACACTGTATAAATGCTGCATTTGCACACATGTTGTTCAATATATGAAACAACACATGAACTCTGATTTCTAAGTTTGTATGAATTATTGAGTTTGTAAAAAAAAGGATTTTATTCATATATATTTTATAATTAAATAAAACTTCTGAAATTAAATTCTTTGTGATGTTCGAAGGCTGATGATAGGAAAGGAGTTGGAAGGGTTGAGCTACAAGGAGCTCGAACACTTGGAGCGTCAGCTCCATGATGGCATGTTAGCTGTTAAGAACCGAAAGGTTACTTCATTTTCATTGTAAAGTAATCGGCTTTTTCGACTTTATAATAAGTTAGAGTTGTATTTTTTGAAATAAACATGAACACCTTTATAATTTAGTTTCTAAGTGTTCCGTTTATGACTCAGGACATGGCATTGTTGGAAGAGATTGAACAAACGAAATTACGGGTAAATTACTTGTTACAGAATAAACCATTTTTGTAGGATCATTAAAGATTTCATGTTTTTGGAAAGGAACTGTATGCACACATCTTACCCATTGGCAAAAACCCTGCTTTAGAATGGGATATTTAGGTTTCGTTTGGTTTATGTTTTTGGAACTCAAATTATTAGTTTTCAAGGTATAATTGTGTTACGTAATTTTTACCCATATTTTATTTTTGCTTATGTATATGAATTTTTCTTACAGGAGCAAAAGACTATGCAAGAAAACGAGGCATTGAAAAAACAGGTAAAGTTTTTCAACATAGTTAAAACAGTCACCGTGTTTTGATTGAAGTATATTACGGTTCGTCAACGTATGACGATTTTTTTTTGTTCTCGATCCTTTATGAATCAAATAGTTTGGTTAAACTTCAATCTTCAATTTGTTTCTTTTTTTATAGATTACAGAGCATTTAAACAAATCAACAACAAACCCTGAAATCCGTCTGGTAGGACGAAAGAGTCCTTTTATAAGTCCAAGCCCGGTTGCATATCTAAGGTCGGATAATGGAGATGTCGGTATTTCTTTGCATTTAGGGTATGTAACCATTTCAGTAATTATTTACGCTTTTTTGAATAATAAGATTTTATATCGTCATCTTTTCATTTTAATATTTGTAGGTTATCACCACGGGAAGATCACCCGAAGAAAAAAGTCCCAAAAATAGAGTTCGATCCTTGAGTTTTGAAGAGTTTAAGGAAACCGTTTCTTCCATTCTAGAATATTCCTCATCGAATTTTACTTTTCATCAAGTGAATGAAGTGATAAAATATATCTTTTGTGTGTGATCTAAGATCATCTCTTTTTTGCTGTTACGTCATCTTTTTCGTCATACACGATAATATACCAAAGGGCTAAAATACCGTCAAGTGTATTGATTATAACTACCTCCTTTTTTTTGTTAATCTCAAATTAAACTGAATAATCTTCAATGTTATATTTTTAGAATTACATCATTAACATTGATGTTTTATAATATAACTCGTTTGGGTCATCCAATCTAATACGAAAATATATATATACAAAAACATTCATTGAAAATAGATGGATTTTCAGATACAATGCAAACATATACATTTACAAATATGCGCACACAAAAGCTTCACTAATATTGCTAAATAAAGACGTTTTATCGACGAATTTTTCTGATGTCGGAAAATTACCGACGAATTCCATTAAAGTTTAAAAAAATCAACTTTTATTGACTTCTACCACAAATTTTTATAAAAATAAAATTAATTCCGATTAAATTTTATGCCGGATTTGTGGTGGAAAATTCTATTTATTTATTAAATCCGCCAAAATATGTGTAGTTTTTTCAAAAAAAATCAAGTAATTAAAATTTTTGACGGATTTGTGACGGAAATTAATTAATTAATTAAATCCGCTAGAAAACGTGGTTGATTAATTAAATTTCCAAAAAAAATACTTTTTTACATTTTCGACTAGACTTTTCCACTAGAAATTGAGTTATCTGGTTGATCTTCTACGAATTGTCCGTCAGAAAAAACCTGTTATTTTGTAGTGGAAGTCTCCCAGATATTCTACTTCTACACATGTCTTTTCCTTTCGGGTTTGATTTGTTTAATGCATAAACAAATCATATAGAGGAACACGATTAAAATCCTATATTCTACTTCTACTCATGTTTCGGTTTTGGGGGTTAAGTTGGTAGTATATAGTGAATGTACGCACTTAAGATATTTGATGAAATGTCTGGTTTGATGAAAAAACAATAAAAGGCAGTCATTTATGTCATTCAAGTTGTTTATTCAGCATAACAAACACACGACTATTTAGGTTAATCCGTACAAACAATGTAATTTTATATTTAACTTAATTCACACACGACTTAATGAAAAACCAACCAAACAACTCCAAAAATTATAAAAGCTTAACCTAAAATTTATAATAGATGGATAGTTCGCATATATTCCCCTCAGTTCTTTTTTTTACAGTGTTCACTCTTGAACCAATCCCAAAATTTATAATCGTTAAAATTGTAATCTCCATAGAACCTAGGAAGAAAATTGTTACATTTATTTATATATATATACACACACACACACACACTCATACACACATACAAAGACGTTTGACACCTTATGCCACACCTAAAAAATATCATAGATTTATCGTGACTCCTAAAGTTGGAGGTTTGACCTTGCCACTATATCGTAGCTCATGTCATGTAGAACCTTGGTTAAACCTATCACGCCACGTAAAACACGTTATTCTAGTGGCAACCTAATTAAGTTTGGTCAAGACCGAGCTTAGAGGTTTGTTTAGGAATGATATGTGATGAACATCAAAGCGAACTGGATTGATTTATAGTATCATAACCGAAGAAACCGTATCTGTAAACTTTAGGGTAATGTCTTGGAGGATATGTTACAAAAATTTCCTTTAAAAATGAAAAAGAAAACGATTGTATATTTAAATTGTTTACAATCATTTCCGAAAAGGATTGATAATAATATCTCCAAAGTTGTGGTTGGAGATGTACACAACGTCAATTTTCGGGTTTTGATGAAGATTACGATTTTAACGATTATAAAATTTAGTGTGCAGAGTTTATTCCTTTGTCTTTCTTGAAATAAACCTGTAGTTTTATGGCAAACCAAGATACTCAAAACTTATGATACATATATTTATGTTTCAAACAATTTGATGATTATACTGATATTATTTTATATTTATCTTGTGGCTGGGAATATATACAACGTTAATTTTTGGGGTCCATTAGAGATCACGGTTTTTCAAATTTAACATCCATTGTTTGTTTTATCTTCCTTAGACTAGAAGCTAACGTATGTAAGGGGTCGGCTGGTTTATTGGGCCTCCGTCAGTACTTGTGGATTCCGGGATGAGAACCTTGTTTTTTACACGATTCTTTATATAACACTGTGTAAAAATGTACTTTTTTCGACACGATTCTACCTATAGAATTAAAGAACGAATGACAGCCCACGCAGCAGGGCCACCTACGAGATATTACAAATGGGCTTACGTCCACTAACCAAGCCAAGCTCAAGATTACTATCTCCATCGGTAATTCGAATAACACCACCATCATCTGCTCATTGTTGCACAACTTATCATTGTACAACAACTTTCATACTTGTCTCACTAAATTCTGTCTCTTTTTTCTCTATTTTTTTAATTATTAAATCTTATATATTATTTTAAGCTTAAAAAAACTTAAATTAGAATTTCTTTAATCATAATATACTAATCATGTTTTGACAAAAACTATCTCACAAGTTGGTTGAAAAACGTAAATCAAAATAAGAAATGTTAAAGAGTTAATCAATCCTAATATTATGTAAAATAATTACCATAAAATACCAAAAATATAATATGTTAATTAATAAAAGTTTAATTTTTATTATTAATTATACATG